ATATATATATATACATACACTCTCTCACTACCCTACAATAATGGAAGGGACACTTTCAGTTTTCAATATTTTTTTGAATTCCTCAAGAAATACTTAGATGACTATTTTGTAACTTTAGAAGTGTTTTGTTCATGCGATTTTTCATACTTAGCAATGAAATGTAAAGCTTTCAGAGGTTTGAGAGACTGATAATGAATTACAAAAGAAAGCAAGTATTCTCAAACACCCTATGGTGGAAAATTAAACAATAAACTTGTATAGATTATTTTGGTTGTTATATGCAATAACTGCTTAAAATTTTGTAAATCTAGCTTAAAATTTATAGAGATATAAACATTGCTACAAAAAAAAAATTTTTTTTTTTTTGTATTTTTTTTCTATAACTTTAAAAATATTTAGTAAAATTAAAAAAAAAATTTGGATCAATTTGAAATTAATTACAAAATTATTGTTCTCAACGAAAGCTCAAAATGATCAGGTTTTCTCCACAAGTTTATAATGTAATTATAATAAAGACACATCAAGAACAAAATTAATTACGTGGAAAACCCCTCATCGTTTTGAGCTTTCTTTTAAAAATTTCAAAAACTACTTATAAAATTGGTTGAAACTTTTTACATTTTTAAGATATTTAAATCAGATCTTTTCTAATTATTGCCAAATACAATTCACTACAAAATTTTGAAATAATAATTAAAAAAAATTTTGTGCATGCGCAGCATAAAAGAACTACTATAAATAATCATATCTTTTTTAGCAAATTCTTTTCAATTTTTGAAACAATAATTTTGTAATTAATTTTAAATTTTTCCAAAATTTTGTTTAATTTTATTGAATATTTTTAAAGTTATACCAATAAAGCGTAAGTCAAAATAATTAGTTTTTTATAAAAATGTTCAAATCTTCAAAGATATTAATTTAAAATATATATAAAATTTTTATAAAAATGTTCAAATCTAAAAAATATTAATTAAGCCAAACTTACGAAATTTTATGCAAATTTGTAAACAACAACCATGGTAATCGATACAAGTTACGAATTTATTGCTTTCTTTTTTGGCATAGGGTGCTCAAAATACTAAAAATACAAAACTCATTTGTTATTACATCCATTCTTATTTTAATATTTAAAGAAGTGGTAATAAATTGTATGATTAAATTTTTATTTTATTTTTAATAAATGAATTCGATTTACAATGATTTTCACCAACACTAGATGAAACTATATGTCTGAGAAATTCATTTTGATATCTTTTTGTTACTATCTTAACAGATTAGTCAGCTTGATTAATTAGCAAAGTGTTTTTTATTCAAAATAATTATGCCCTTTGACAACTACTCAGGTTATTCAAATCGAATAACACAATTCATTTGAAAATATGATGATAATGTATGATAAGCACTTTTGAAGAAAATTACGGATTTCTTTTTCCACCTGTTATCTAAGCCGTTTCCTTAAGCAGCCAAGATAAAAGTTTTTACACTTTCTCTTACGTTTTCAAGAACAACGTAGCGAAATGTTATCTCGAGTCGCAAAATCGTTTTTCCATGTTCAAATCAATAAAACTTTTCCAAGACTTTTAACGGGTAAGTTTTGTTTCGTTAATTTAATTTGGCGGGGAAAAAATTAGTTTCATGTATTGGACATTTCAGCCATGCTCTGCCAAAAAGGGGAAAAATGCACATTGTTTTGAAAAGCGTTTTCTTAACTAAATGAATATTAATTTGAACTTATATAATTACCACTTAATGTATATTTACCACTTTTAGCTTCTGCTAAAGTTTAAAAAGTATCGTATCCACTTTTATTGAAGTTATTAAGTTTCCAGTCTTTACCATTTGATAAAAAAAAAAAGAGAAAAGAAAGAAAATCTGAAAAAGGGAACTACGGCACCTAATTGGTAAAGGATGCTGAAAAATTTATTCAGTAACCATTTTTATGTATTATAATTACATATTATGTTGCATTATATATTATATTACTTTTTATATAGATAATAATTTATTCATTTCAGCATTTTAAAATTTATTTTTGTACACTTACGAACCCAGTTGTTTAAAAAATAATCTGTTATTGCTGTTATATTTTCTTTTATTGATGTTATTAATGTTTTTAAAAAACAATTTATCAAAATACATATTCAATTTAAATTATTTTTCCCCTCGTGTTTTTTTTAAAAAACTTTTTTACGTGTTTTTTATACGTGGCAGTTATACCCAATTATAAAAGTAGCAAACGTTTTACTTATTAAAGTTTGTAAAATTTTTATCTTGTACGTTCATATTTCAAATTTTCAAGTGTTAAAAAGAAAAAATAGCACTTAAGCTGTGTTTGTCCTGTAATAAATTCCCGAAAATTATAACAGTAATTATCAAAGTTTGGTTAAAATTAGTTATTTGACTTTCAGCTCTTGAAAGGAATGTAAAAGAAGCTTATCGCTTTTTAAAATTAACAAAATTCATAATTTCAAAATAAATTAAAAACTAAATATTAACATTTCGCTATCTTTAAACACAAAATTGGCTACCATTTCAATTTTAATAGAATGCTGGAATAGGCCCCACCTCATTTATTACATCGCAACCAATTTTTGAGAATTTCAGAAAACACATAATTCGCCTAGGGTGCAGAACTGCACCTTTTTGTACTGATGTAAAAGCAGCAAAACTGGGTGGATATTTTTAAGTATTAAATACCACTTAATTTTATTTCAAATATCCTATTTAGAAATGTTTTATAGTAAACACTAATTTTTTTTCCTGCTCTTTTTAAAATAAATTCTAATGATGTATAATTGGGTTACCAAGTTGAAACATTCTCGCAAGAGACCGTTGTGGGCCCGGCGTGTCCTGACAGTCTCTACAATTTCGTGATCAACGCCATGACCATGGCAATGCTCACATTGCAGCTCTTACTTCACAAGCAAGCTCGTACCCATCCATCTAAAACTGAATGAGCTTCAAGCCGCATCTGGGGATCGAACCTCAGTCTTTCACAATCGCAGTTCAGTGTCTTTAACTATTGAGTCATTACGGCACACTTGTGGCACAATTAACGTGTGGCACACACATGTGGTATAAAATGGTGGTTCACTTTATTTTTATTTATTTATTTCCCCCACATTGAAAAAAACCATAAGGTTATTTATTTTCTAGAAAGAAAGGGCATGTTCCCAAAATAGATGACTTGGTGCCTAGTGAGTTTTAAAAAACGATCAGGTTCAGAATACAGCCCTTTCTCTACGATTAATTTAAAAATGTTTCGTTCGCCAAGAAAGCTTAGATTATACATTACTCGGGGATTATTTGGGGAGAAGTTTTCAAATAAGTTGTTTGCATTTTTGTATTTAAAAAAAAATTTCTTCAATATTTGAAACTTTATGGTTTACTCCATATTCACCTAAACTCACTTTTCTCTAAATTTTAAAATAACAATTTAGAAGAAACAGAATTTTAGATGAAGAATCTTCCCCCGGAGTATTTGACCGACATATGGAGTTTTTTTTTTTTTTTTAAACCATGTAATCGTTCAGATAAAAATTATTTTTCAGGATCTGTAAATACTGCTAAAGATGGTCCCCTATCTGGTGTACGAATTCTCGATTTGAGTAGGTAAGTTTAAAAACTCTGATGATTCTTCGATTTCTTCCTTTCTTTTAAAATGAAAAGTTAGTTTGTCCTCAAAAATGGATAATAAACAGAGTCACCATTTTAAATGTCCTATAAATAAATTTTCTATATTCTGGAATGGTTCTTTATCACCATAGCTCTTATGTGACTTATTTTACATTTATTTGCATTTTAAATTATTCATTTTAAAAAATAAAACAATCTGTATTCACTTTTAACAGTAAACTGAAAGAAAAATATGCTTTAAAGAGTCACTAATCTTAAATCTCTTTTAATAAAAATTTAAATTTTATTAGCCACCACTTTTTACATTTTTAGTCACCCTTATCAACCATGTAGTCTCTTCAATATGCATGCAAATCTTGCAGAAAACCCGAAAGAGATAGCAAGTATATTATTTCATGTATAATTAATAATATACAAGGGTTGCCGCGAAGTGAATAAAAATACAAAAAGTGACGACAATTAAAATTCAAAATTTTATTAAAAGAGATTAAAATTAATTTTTAATAACTTATTTTTTTTAGTATATTTTATCCAATTTCCATACACAAATAAAGAAAAACAAAACTTGTTCTTAATGTTCTTAATTTTCCTAAAATAAAATGCTGTAAATATGATGATAATTTTCTTAAAAAATATGATACAATATAAAATGTATTTCTTATGCGAACATCAATGGACTATTATTTAGAATTGTAGCTGGACCTTTTTGTACTATGCTATTAGGAGATCTCGGAGCGGAAGTCATAAAAGTCGAAGCTCCAAGTAAGTTATTTTCAAAAGTAATCATAAATTTATTTATAATAGAAGTTCTTTCTAACGTTTATCAAGGCCCACTATATTTCAAATTATTAGTCAGAAGTTAGCCAAATAAATTCTATCATTTTGCATTTGGCGAAGACTATCGAAAATTCGCAAATTTTCGATAGTCTTCGCCAAATGCAAATCTTAACAGTTTTTTATGATTAATTTTTCCCCCCATAGAAAACTATTTTACGGTAGATAGTTTCAAGGCCTATATTATTTGGACCCAATTCTAATTGCTTATGCGCCTCATCTATCGAAAATTACTGTAATCGATTAAAAAATACTGATTTGTTCAGAAAAATTTATTTTCACATAATTTTGAGGATCGAGTAAAATNAAAGATGTCATTACGTTCGGGGTACTAAGCTGCGCAGTGGTTGAAAATACGGCGTATGTCATTACGTTTGGACTACTAAAGGATATTTATGGTAACCCGTGCAGAGGCCTACTCTTTTCTAGGAGGTGTTGGGTCTACAATGAACCATATTTTTCTTTCCAGTGAAAAAAGTCATTCGCCAAAACACAATTTTATTCGCCAAATTTACAATTTTATTCGCCAAATTTACAATTTTATCGCATTTGGCGAGGTGGCGCGTGCTTAGCTTTCAGCGATGATTTTAAGTATTTAATATTACACCAGAGTTGCCAACTTGCACAGGATAGCAAATGGATATTTTTGAGTGGTAATCTATTTTTCTTTTTTCTTTTTAATACCCATTCCCTCCCAATTGTCACTCGCCATTCGGGCATGAATAGGGCAGATTTGTTGGTCACTTTTTCGGTCTTTTCTTTTAATATTAAGTGGGCCAACATTGCTCCACTTAGTAATATAATATTTTCTAGTAGTAATGAAATTTAAGTTATTTTTATTTTGTATTTTACATTTTAATTAATTTTTCCACTAAAACAAAGCAAAAATTCAAAATATTATATGAATTGATACTTTGTTGCAGTCATATCGTGGTGACTATTTTAAAAAGTTGGCGTAATTATTTTTATTCTTCAAGTTTTACTCTATAATTCGCTACCAATTTAACAAAATTATTGCTAAAAGCGGAGCAATTGGCATCTCTGCACTTTGTTTCAGTTAAGCTAATCCCCTCGTTTTCCCTCAATTTAATTAATTTTCGATGAAGGAGTAGATAACCCCCCCCCCACCACCACCGGGCTAGGCACCCCGTAATCCAGAATTGGCATTGGCATACAGTTAAGCCGCATTGAGCTTTTTACAAATCTGACAAAATGAACCGATAATCCGCAAATTAAGGTTTATAATTCTCTACAGTTTTTCAAAATATTTTTTCGAGTCTGGAGCAAGTTGGCCTCTCTGGAAACAAAAACTTGACTGTCACTTTAGAAAGGAAAATAAAATGTTTTTGGAAATCCATTAAATATTGCTCTTAAAAACCAATTCAAATTTACCGTGTGGTTTGTAAAAGTAAACACACAGTTTATGGGAAACTTCTGCAAACTACTTTTACAGAACTCTTACAAAAATACCTTAGATTAAAACTGAAACAAGCGATAGGCAAAATTTTGCTAAGGCTGGCGTAAACTTACTGCTATAGCTGCAATTTAAATGTAATAAATTTCGAAGCCGAGTAATAGTAGTACTGAGTAATCATTTATAATCATTATTTACCTTAATCATTTATATTTGTGGACGTTACAACTCACGGAGTGTATTAACCATATTAGCTTGTATCTAGCACAGGGGTTCCCGATTTTTTTTCCGTTATGGAACCTCAAATGATCGATCTTTTTTTGGCGCAACATCGGTTTTATGATAAAGTTCACAAGCAGGTAGCTGCAGTATACATACAATCGGACCCCGATTTAACGAATTCATAGGGACCGACAATATTATTCGCTAAATCGGGGATAATTTGTAATATCAGGGACAGAATAAAAAAATAATTAACTAACCTCATGGAAAATTTCATATTTAATTTTATTACGGTCGTTGAACAGCCGACCCAATTTTTAGGTTTACGACTACTAATGTTCAACTCCGTAGCCTTGTAATTTTGAACCCAATGCAGAAGACAAGGGCACTTCTGGATCAAGTATTGGGTGAAATTTGCCCTCGTGGAGGACTTTTTGGTGGAACTAACCCGCATTTGCGTTACATGGAGAGGAAGATCACGAGAACCTCCCACGGTTAGCCAGATAACCCATGATCTGTCTACCACTGAGGATATTTCACATCAGCACTGTGGTCGGTGCAAGCTGGATGCGGAATTCGTATCGACCAACCATCGTCGGGATCGAACTCCGGTTCACCTCATTGGAAGGCGAACGCTGAATCCCCTGAGCCATCCCGGCTCTCATGGAAAATTCGAACATCTCTAATAAGCAAATGCACAAAGTAAATAGAAATCTTACACTTTTTATTCATGTATTTAAAATACAGCGAATGCCTGATTAATTTAAAATTTTAAAGCATTTCGTAAGTAAGGTTTGCTTATTTCCTTGATTTCTAGTTTTAAAGAGTTCTTTTTAGACGTCATGAAAAGAAGAAAATACTCCTTCATTTACATCTTGCTGCATTATGTACGTTTTCACTGTTTTCAAACCTTACAAAGCATCAGAAAAAGTAACAGTTTTAACTGGAGATGGATTACTATCATTGACTTCTCTTGTCAGAGTCTCTATTCACTGATTCCTATAAATCTACTTCATTAAATTCATAAAATTCGCTAAATCGCGAAATTCGGTAAATAGGGGTTCGTTAAATCAGGGTTCCACTGTATCAACAAAAATGAGACCCCAACTTAATTTGGAAATACAGAAGGGTTACAGAAGGAACAAAAATATGTAAACACTTCTATATTAAGAGTATGTAAACAATCTTTCTTTTAGCGGCAAATGTCTTGGAAGACTTTACTTGGCACTATGAAAAATCATGCTTGAAGTTTTTAGAAATGGTGTCATTTTTAGCCGGGCAAAATTTGCATCCACCAAAATGAGCGTAGGAAGTTAAAAAGCCTCTTCTCCTTTTTTAATGCAACAATAATTTTAAAAGCATCGTTACATAAATATTGTAGAATGATTTAAAAATTGCTGGTATTAGAGCTAGAAAGAAGTTCGTTACTTTTTCTACACGTTTTAGTCTATGCAAATTTTGCAGGGATAGAGCTGTCACCAGTCCTAAAAGTTTACCCCAGGATCTTTCAAATTGTGCCATCAATTAAAATCCTCTAAAATATTTGTTGCAAAATTGTTTGCATAGAGTCTATACTAGAAGTGTTTCCATATCTTAGTCCGACATATGCATTTTATGATAAGTTGTTTTGACATTGTTTTATCAGTAAGAGTTATAAAATGAGTTTTTCTTTACGTCAGTTTAAATCAGAAGAATGAAGCGGTTTCTCGTGCATTTCTGAATTTCTTTTTGTCGTATTGAAAAAAGTTGAAATTGAAAAAAAAAACACTAAGAAAATTAATTGAATGTCAAAAACTGTGAGAACAGTTATCATCGAAACATGATTCTTTATTCTTGAAATTCATTTTATTTTGAATTGAAAAGCTGGAAGAGAAATAAAATGTAATTATTTGATAATATAATTTATTCAATATACTATCGTAAGTTTCCTTAATTTTTTTATTGGCATTTTAGTTAAATAAATTCATTTAAATAAAAGAAATATTAAGAATTATTGGTTTATATACAAACATATTCTCAAGTTTCAAACATCATTATTGGATTTTTTCAAAAGAAAATCTTGATTTTCGGAACCCCAGTGAACTTAAAAAAGGGGCTTATTTTACTTATTATTATTATTTTTTTTGCAGTGGTATTGAATTAAAGACATTATTTAATTTAAAAAAAAATGATTTTATATAATTCAAGTAAAAATTATTTAAACGAATGGAACTTAAAAACTTATGTCAGAGCTTAAGAGTAAGACGGACGTGTCTAGTGAGAGGTCTCTAGTGTCTAGTGACGTGTCAAGTTCTCTTGTCTTCTGGATTGGGTTAAAAATTACTGGGCTACGGAGTTGAACATTGGTAGTCGTAAGCCCAAAATTGGATCCGCTGTTCAAGTATGGATACAAAATATCTCTAAAGGCCTGGTTTCTTAGCACAGGACGCCGTCAGCTGGAAATCAGCGCTAACCTCTGATTGATCCATTTGTGAGTTTGATAGTATACGTCATCGAACGCTCATCTTGAACTACAATTGCCGTCCATCTCAACTGCAGTTGGATTACAACGTGACGTTAACCACAGAAGCAATGGCGGACAACATCCAACAGCACATTGAAATCAGCCAAGATTCTGATTTTGACATTAAACATAGCTTCTTCATTAATCATAGCACTCTTCATTTAACTCAGCCGTAATGTGTTTTTTCTTGGACAAAGTCATTATTTGTTCTCTAAAACACTGGTCGACAAAAACAAAATCGATACAAATTCAAAATAAATATTTGTTTACGTTATTAACGCATGCGCAATGAGAGATAATGTCTGTGTTGGACGGACTGCTCACGCTGAGCTAACAAAAAAGTATTTTTTTGGCGTCAGCTCTACATCAACTTTCCGCTGACGCCCAGATAAGGCGCTAGTTCCAAGAAACCAGGCCTTGAGCTAACAAACCAGTATTTTGTTGGCGTCAGCGGGACGTTGACGTCCCGCTTACGCCCAGATAAGGAGCTAGTCCTAAGAAACCAGACCTTTAGGAATTGGGGATTCATCGTTTTCTGGTTCAGGTCAAAGTTATGATCTGTGGATGAATGAATGGAGAATGACTCTGTCCTCCGTGTGACTGTGACGTACATGCGGGCTGTGACGTACATGCGGTTGGAGTCGTATTCTTCGCCATAGATGGCGCCACCAAAAAATAAGAAACTATCCATCTGCTTCAAAATCGATTGGATTCCCATAGCACGATTGTTGGTTGGCAACTGGCATTTGCAACAACAACAACAATTAATACAATAATAACTTTACCAGAAGGAAAAGTATTTTTTAAATTTTGGAAATTCCATAGAAGTTGGATGATATGTTTCTACTCCCCATAATTTTTTCATATTTTCGATGAAGCCGCAAACATCTCACTGGGCTAGGTACTCTGAACCAAATTTCACATTGACATTAAAGGATATATATGTCATAAATATGCATCATATTCATTGGCAAGTAAATTTATATTTCTTTTGTTTAAATCAGTTTTTGAAGGAAATGAAAGCGCTCAACACAATCATTATTATTATTCAAGGACATGGACATTCCTAATTTTAAATTTATATAAATTTAGTTGGAAATTCTTCTGAATGGTATTTTAAGATTTGTATGGTAAATTTGTATTTGTATCAATTTTTAAGTAATCAATTTCGGTATATACTCCGTAATATTTGACGCGGAGTACCAATATTTGTGCGCAATATTTGGTACGAAAGGTTATTTGATCCTTCATCGAAAATATGAAGGAATTATGGGGAGAAGGAACCATAAAAAAGTAAAAAAATGTTCTTACTTACGAATCAGCCTTCTTGATTTTTACTAAGTTAAGCGCTTGTGCATTGTTATAAACAATGTATCAACATTATCTTTTGCTCAAAATTTAACGTTTTTATATCGAAGGTTGTTTTCAAAGGTTTTGGATTAGGGTAATGTACGTGGAATAGAACAGATCGTCGCAGATCTCGTTTTAAGGTTCGAAGGCTTACACGTATAAACCGCATAACAAACCTTTTTACGTTTACATTAGAAGGTTTTTGCTGAGGGAAAACAAACCTTATTTTGATGATATATTCAGCAAATCGATATTTATCGATTTAATGATATATTCAGCAAAAAAATAATAATAAATTGACTTAAATTGATGATTTTTCTTAAAAAAAATCACAGTTGATTTAAATCAATGATTTTTTTGAAAAAAAATCAAGTGATTTAAATTGCTATTTAATCAGGATTTAAATCATACGTATATGTTACACATAATATGTTTAGACATATTATGTATAATACGTTATACATAATATGTTTAGGTACGTATATGTTACCGTTAAAGTATGAAATCCGTTATTTTATAGAATACCTAGTTATTCCATGAAATAACTGATCGTGTCCGTTAAAGTGTAAAACTCTCTTGTATTTTATGATTTAACTAGTTATTTCATAGAATAACGATCTGCAGCCCGTTAAAGTGTAAAATACCGGTCGGTTGCTACAGCTCAAAGTTTAGGTACTCGCCAAGGATTTAAAAAATGTTCGTGTAAAACCCAGTGTGTCAACAAAAAATGTTTTTGCTTTAGAAATAATGTTCTTTGTAATTCCAAGTGTCATTTTTGTAATCCTTGTTGTAACAAATGATTTTATGGTACGTTTCCATAAATACCGTTTATATGCTGCATAAATTAGATAAATTGCTTCTTTTTCATTTTAATTGTCTATCATTAGTTTATTTATAGAAAGCCTAGTTATTTTATTTTAGATAAATTGTTTATTTTACACTTTAACTGTCTCTCATTAGTTAATTTATAGAATACCTAGTTATTTCATAGAATGGCTAGTTAAAGTGTCAAATTAATAACATATTACACACTTTAACGGACACGATCAGTTATTTCATGGAATAACTAGGTATTCTATGAAATAACTGCATTATATACCTTAACTGTAACGTATACATATAATACGCATAGATACGTGACAGTTATACTATAACAGTTGCGCCTTACTTCTTACAACTCCTTCCACGGATGCGAGCCTTAATAAATTGGAATCTATTTGCAGACGGAGAAGAAACTCGTAACTTTGGGCCACCATTCATAAAAGATGAGAGCGTGTATTACATGTCTGTCAACAGAAATAAAAAGGTATGAATGAAATGGAATTACGAATTTTAGTATAATAATAAGCATGGCATGATGTTTCCAAAATTCAAAGGATGCTGCGTGCGTCTAAAAACGTAAGGAGTGGCAAAACTTATTCCATTTTCATTTATTTAATCTTTTTAATTCTAGAACCGTAGCTACCATTATATTTTACATTGAGCCGCGATGGCTCAGGGGACAGAGCGTTCACCTTCCAATGAGGTGAACCGGGTTCGAATCCCTGCGATGGCTGGTCGATACTAATCCGCATCCGGCTTGCACCGACCACAGTGCTGACGTGAAATATCCTCAGTGGTAGACGGATCATGGGTTAGAGTCCCCTTGCCGTCAGGAGCCCTGGGAAGTGCTTGTGGTTTTCTCTCCGTGTAACCAAAATGCGGATTAATAAATTCAAAAAGTCCTCCGCAAAGGCAAAATTTGTCTCAATTCTTGATCCAGGAGTTCACTTCTCTTCTGCATTGGATTCAAAATTACAAGGCTATGTAATTGAACATTAGTAGTAGTAAACCCAAAAATTGTGTCAGCTGTTCAACGACGGTTATTAAATAAAATAAAAAATTTTAAAAAATCTTACATTGCAAATTTGAAATATTCAAATCGAAAAATTTCCTTGCATTCACTTTCAGCAGTAAATTGAAAGAAGTATGGTAGGAAAAAGTTGCTCATTTTAATTTCTCTTCGTCACCAATTTTCGCAATTTTAAGCGCACTCGTTATATCTATCTGTACTTGTAGTCGATCAGAATTTGTGAAACATTTTGTTAAGGGCAAAATCTTAATTTCCGGAAGATCGAAACCCAGGATTCATGCCGTTTTTAAAAAGTTTAAAAAGAAGAACAATTCATTCAATTAAGCTGAGTAGCGTCCCCCCAAAACTAAAAAAACTGGTAGCAAAATTTCTTAACAAATAATCGAAACTTACCTCTTTACCTTTCCAATTATGTGAAGAAAAAAATTTTTCTGTTTGAAAATCTTTGCGAAGTATTTCTATCCTGAGAATATTAAATTTGAATGGTAAAAAAATGAGTAATCAATTATACAACGTCAAGTTTAATTAATCAATTTCGAGCCGTGGTGTCTCAAGGAATAGAGGGTTCGCCTTGCAATGCGGTTCCCGGGTTCGAATCCCAGCGATGGCTGGTCACGATGCGAATTCCATTCCCGGCTCGCAACCACCACAGTGCTGACGTAAAATATCCTCAGTGGTAGACGGATCATGGATTAAAGTTCTTTTGTCCTCAGAATCAACCGTGGGAGGTTTTCGTGATTTTCCTCCCCATGTAACGCAAATAAAGGTTATTTCCATCAAAAAGTCCTCCACGAAGGCAAATTTCTCCCATTACTTGATCCAGGAGTTTCCTTGTCCTCTTGATAGGGTTTAAAATTACAAGGCCATGAAATTGAGCATTGGTAATCGTAAACCCAAAATTGAGTCGTCTGTTCAACGTCGAAAAAATAATCAGCTGGCGCTGACGTCATAGGTCACGTGTGTGGGTATCCATGATTCTTCTTGTTCTTGAAGTGCAAGTATCAAATCGTAAGCAGGAATTATTTTAACTATCCAAGTATTTTATATTTTTAAAGAATCTCGTTAGAACGTTTTTACAAATTTATTTAAATCATCTGCAAGCTAAGTTAGCCAAAATCCTTAAGTTGGCTTTGTTTTTTTCTACAAGCGATATATAATCATTTTTTAAAGAGCAGAAAGTGAAAAATAATAATAATAGTTGCACTAAACTTTTAGAAATTTTCGAAAAAATTTTGAAAAGTGCTATTTTCTTTAAATTATATAGTTGCATTTTTCTAGGATGTAAGGTGGCCTGCGTGGCTTTTTTCATTTCAGGTTAAGTAGATAATAATTTTCGAATTCACAATTGAATGTGAAACTTTTTTTATTTCATCAAACACTCTGGACATTTTTTATAATTTTCAAGTTTCTAAGGTATTACTACATGAAGTTTCATTTAATAATACCGGGTGCAATTTTCGCCAGATTTTTTTCCTTTTCAATTTTGAATGATTTTAAATGTTTAAATGGCCATTATTTATATCTGTACAATTGACAACTCATTTTAACATGAATTTTGTTCCATATTTAGGGCATCGTGGTCGATATTAAGAAACCAGAGGGTAAGCACCTAATAAAAGAGGTAAAGAAGCTACTCAATCTTGAATACAAAATTAGCTCTATTTCTTAAGATTGTTTTTCAAAGTTTATACCGTCATATGAAATGATGTTTTTGTTGCGAGTAATATGCTATTTTCATAACTATTGTAAGTTTGCAACAGTTACTCATGAAAAGTTATTAGGACAAGTATAACTTATCTAAAGCTATCTTAGCTTATCTACGCTTATTTTGAAAATGGCGCGTAACGTCAATGTGGAGAAAAGCTTTAGTTTTGTTGAAATGAGAAGCGTTTGCATTCTAATTTTTTAATTTTTGAAGACATATTCTAATGTTGTATTATCTGGGCTCATAAAAATTTGCAAAAAACAGAACAAGGCAGTGACTTTGATAATTTTTTCCGGGTGGTAAAATGTCGCCAAATTGACGATTTTTAAAAAAGTTTAATAACTTTCAAAATATTTAAGTTGTTTGACCTTTTTAAAGCCCAGATAATTCTGCACAATATTCCTCATATATATAGTTTAAAATCACAGTTTTGCTTCAAATGTAAGGCACTTAAACTATGACTTTTTTTAAAATTTTTATTTTCCTTGGCAGCACAGCTTCGAAAAACCATGTTAAAAGTGAATACATACTAGGAAAAGATATAAAACATGTTCGCCTATTCAATAAAGCAAGAAATGTTATCTATTTGTGGTAAAAAATAATACGAAATGCATTAAAGTGTGATATATTTTCCTCTTTTTAATAGATCGTTAAATGAATTACGTTATTACAGTAAAATTATTTCTACTAAAAATACATGAGAGCAAATGTATTACGTAAATGAACTACATTATTATAATAAATATTATAGTAATATTAAGTAACATTAATTAAAAATATGATTTGACAGAAAAAGACTAAAGCCCTAATCGCCAATTTTTGCGCTTTTTTGGCATATTTATTCCAGTAGTAGCAAGACTAAGGCTTAAGCCACTTCAGAAGCAGCGGAAGGACAAAGAAGGGATTTCCTTGACACGCAGTCTCGAAGTTGATGCGTATTAATGAGGATAATACCTGATATGTATGCGTATAATACGAGATACGTATTAATACGAGATAAAACACGAGAGTACCATGTTGAGAACATGCTCGTGTGATCTTGGGCCGCTAGCGACAGAAAGGCTCGTTTCATATATGATTCNATGACATCTTTCTTATTTTTCATCAACTGCGCAGTTAACTTCGTCACATCGGACTACTAATTTGATCCGTGCTGAGGCCTTCATTATTCTAGGAGGTGTTGCGCAGTCTCGAAGTTGATACTATAGCCAGATTCTTTCTAAACTTAACCCAGATAATTCCTCACAACAAGATCATATACATAGTTTAAAATCATCGTTTTGCTTCAAATGTAAGGCACTTAAACAGTGGTTTTTTTCCCTTCCCCATGCGTATTAATGAGGATAATACCTGATATGTATGCGTATAATACGAGATACATATTAATACGAGATAAAACACGAGAGTACCATGTTGAGAACATGCTCGTGTGATCTTGGGCCGCTAGCGACAGAAGGGCTCGTTTCATATATGATTCCATTTTCCATTAGTAGCAAGACAATGCTTTAAACCCCTTTCGAACCATCGGATGGAGAAAGAAGCACTGTCCTAGACACACAGGTTCGAAGTTCATTAGTATTAATGAGTATAATACCAGATATGTATACGTATTATACGAGATACATATCCCTATTTTATTGTTAATGAGAGGCTGCAACCAACTGCGTATTGTTCCCACGGTTTTTAACATTTTAAAATGTAGTGGCAAAGATTAAACGAAAGTCAAAATTTAAATGAATTTGTGCCCACCAGTGATAATGCCAACTTGTGGGCAAATATTTTGTAGTAGTGGGAAATTTTATTTTTGTAATGATTTCTGGTTTTGTGGATTGGATTATAAAATATTTTGTTCGCCACTGCATATGAAAGTTTTTTGAAGTTTGCATTAAACGCCACTTAATTCTGATTTAGTGGCATAATCTTCCGGCATAATTCCGGCATAATCTTCGTTATAATATTTGTGATTCATTTCATGCATTTAATGATTCTTATTCTTTATAGCTAGCGAAAGAAAGTGATGTTTTTGTTGAAAATCTCGTTCCTGGAAAAATGGCAAAATTAGGATTAGGCTATGAGCAACTGAAGTCAGTAGCTCCGCATTTAATTTATTGTTCTGTATCAGGTTAGTGAGTCTTGCTTTATTTCTTAAACATGAATTTAACGATTCTTATGCTCAGTTTATGCTTATTCTAATTTTCTACAAAGCTTATATGATGCTTATTCTAATTTTCTACAAAGGCTAGTGATCACAAAATTTAAATTGATTCCGGCATAATCTTCCGATTTTGTTTAAATATTTTCCTCTAATATTTAAAAGTAAGCCAGTTTTTTTTTTCTTTTTTGTCGTTGTTTTTTTTTTCTGTTTAGGCAGTGGGGGTGCAATTGTTCCTGTTTTTCAGTGGCGTCATCTATGGTCAGGAATTCGACCTCTGCCACGCCATTCACACAACCACAACCCGTTTATACGGCGGGTCGCATTCACACACAAAGGAGAAAGGACAGAGAACACAGAGAGAGAGAAAGAAACATCCATGCCTTACCCGGGATTCGAACCCAGAACCTTTCTGATGCAAGGACAGTTTCCTTATTCTAGTTATTTTATTCAATTTGGTTGAGCTCCCAAAGAAAAGCTCAAGGTTCAAACCCCGACAATGACTAGTCGATTCGTATATTGTTCCCAGTTTGCCCTAACCACGTTGAAAACAGATGCTGTTCTAAAATTTTCTTACCATCGGAGTAACAGTAAGAGATTTTTGCATTTTACCTTTTTATGTAACACAAAAGAATCAAAATGTCCTTTATTAAGACGAGTTGGTCAGAATGCTTGATTTAGGAATTACCTTGTGAAAATACCCTGGGGCGGGTTTAAAATGATAAAGGTACGGAATTGAAAATTAATGCGTGCAAATCCCTATTAAATTGGTTGTGAAACACTGGTAATAAACTAAATGCATCTTGTGTAGATAATGGGGCCTAAATTTCCATCAGAAAAAAATTGCAAAAATTTGGGCGCGTCACGAAATAAAATGTATCATTCAAAAAATCAATGAATAATTTTATATTTTATTTATTGACATTCTTGTTTGTATTATGTAGTATCTTTACAGTTAAGAATGTGCGTACAGCCTACTAGCCCATTGAAAACGGCCAAACACAACATGGCAATAAAACTAAACTGATCGATACATGATGGACGATCCTGACTTTCAAGACTAACTCATAACATACGTGATAAATTCGAGTTTTGAGAAAACAGGGCATTCAGTGAAGCGCAAGGGGTCATGTCAGGTGACTGTGCAGGCTACATCACTTTTATCACAGCTCCTATATATGAACTGGCAATTTAGGATTTTTATTATTTTATAGTAGTCTTGGTCTAAAATAATAAACAAAATACTTAGTTTCAAAATTGGCTATAATTATGTGCATACCCTGTACCAGTGTCGGCAACATGTAACGTATTATGGTTATGAATGTAATGAATAATCAAGATAACATGCAATCTTGATCAGTTGCAATAAAATTTATAACTAAAATTACGTGTAATCATTATTACTTCTAATCGCATATCAGCTGGTAATCGTATTTCCATATCAGTTGTAATTATAACGACAATTTTAATCATGAATTGTGGTTGTTTACAATGACAATTATGGTAAAACCATACATTATGACGTCTTCCAATAAGATTACAAGAAATCGATTACCGTCATTCGGGGCTACTTTGTGCAGGATTTCGCAGTTTTTGAACTTTGACATGTAAAAAAACTACGTTAATTCAAACTTTAGTAAAATTTATCGATATTATATTCATAACTGGACTCAGACGAGTGAATTTGATCAATATTGGCATTATTTGTATGTAATATTTACGGATAATAAGTCAAAACATACTCTGCACAAAGTAGCCCCCAAATGGGGCTACTTTGTGCAGCGATAGGAATTCAGTTTAATAATCATGTTTTTAGTAAAATATTGATATAAAATTGCTAAAAAAGTTAATTGTTGACATTTTTAAAGGCAAAAACATCAAGATATGAAAAGATATTAGTTTGAAAATAATTTTCAGCATTAAAAAACCATTTTTTTGAAGAATTTTTTCTTAAAAAGAATGTTTATTTCAATACATTTGAGTTTAAACAAAAGGAAACCATATACATTTTTAAGGAAACATAAAGGAAACCATTTCAATGCTTAAAAGCATTGAAATGAATGAAATTTTAAAAATAATAATTATTACATATTTATTAACATTTATAATATTGTTGAATTTGAACATAACATCCTTGAATGAACATGACAGAACTTGCTCTTCAGTTTCTGTCAAAATCACC